TATTCTCTGAAGGTAACAAAATTCAATCAGATATATTCATTTGACCTCATAAAGTATAATATTATGAACCTTTAATTTTCATTTACTTGATTCATTAAGACTAAGAAAGACATGTTAGTCTCCTGTTATTGTATTTCTGTCTATTTCTTTTGTTTCTAACAGTTTTTGCTTTCTTTTTGATGTTATTTGGCAAATGATCTTTTTATATTTAAGGGAAAAAATATTTTCCTTTAAAGACTTGTATACCTTTGTGAATCTTACCTCATTTTGTTGTAATAGTTGTTTCTGTAGAAATACATAGTTCAGTAAAATATTTATGTCTGTTTTTAAGTCAACAGAAATCTTTCAGAAGTCCTTTGTATCTTAACAAGATACTTTGGAAGTTCTTGATCTTCCTAAGTAGGCTAATGTTCTTGCGGGCTACTCCTGAGCCAAAGCAAGAGTGGTAGTGTGGACTGAGGTGTATTAGGCTTTGGGTTTTTTTGAGTGTACCAATGTTTCTGGTTCCTGCTTTGGGGCAGCCCCATGCTTAGGGATGTTTAGGGGATGCCTGCCCTTCACCTGGCCATATTCTGCCTCAGTAGGGCCCACACAAAGGTAACCTAGGAGGCACTTTTCTTCTGTGGGGACTAGCCTTCTGAGAAGGCAGCAGAATGTAGCTTTGTGTGCCTGGCTATTGGGGTAAAAGCTAATCTGAGAGACTTACTCCACCAGAAAAGATTTTGTTTTTTTTCTGTAGAGTCAGAGTCCCGCCATGTTGCCTAGGCTGGTCCTGACTCCTGGGCTCAAATGATCCTTCTGCCTTGGCCTCCCATAGTGCCGGGATCGCAGGTGCAAGCCACCACACACAGCCCCCACCAGAAGAGGTTTTTCCAGAGCTGTTGGAACAGGCTATTCACGTGGCAAAGTCTATCAAACACAGAACCGGCTTTTTCCAAATGTGTAGGAGTGGTGAATCCCAGCCCTCAGCTCAAGAGTAAAAGAAATAGGACCTTCTCTATTTTCCTTCATTCAAGTGAGAGTTGATTTTTGAGCCCCTGTTCCACCAGGCTCATGCAATTTGACTCAGTCAGCTCCAGGACTCCCCTTTCTCCAGAGGAGAGTCCTTTACAGTTCTGGGGAGCTTATATATTCCAACATGTTAAGGGGAGAGGGGATCCACATCTGCTCAGATATTCCCGGTTCCTACCCTGCTGGACACCTCATGCCTCCATCCCATGCTTGGGACATAGGAATTAGCTGTTCTGTGCTGTAGGAATCTCCATGAAGCTGTACTTGGCCCTGACTGCCTGGGCCCTCCCTGTAGCCACGCCCTGTCTGGTGCCACAAAGACTTCATTTAACTTGAAGGGACTGCTAGATAAGCTAGACCTGTGTTTGCACAGGAGTCAAGACCACCGAGTGGAAATAATTCTGTGGCTGCCACCAAAGCTGTTTGCATTGCCGAGAGCCACAGTTCTACCCACTACTTCCCAACCGTGGCCCCACTGCGCCTGCCAGAGTTGTTACCATCTCTGTGCCCTTTCTCTTGCTTATTGCACAGTAGGTTACACAGTCTTGTGCTTCTCCCTCTTGCCATGTCATCTCTTCACTCCACCACTGCTCTGACCGGCCCATGCCTATGCTGTTCCCCGTACCCTCGAGGATCTCCTCCGTTTTCATGTTCCTCTAATGCAGAGCTGCCAGAGGCTTCTTCCTAAAGCATGGGGCAGATGAGGTCCTAGGACACCACAGGCTCTTTCCCTACCTGCCTAGGCCTTGCTGTGCACTCTCTCTGTGTTCTTGCTTATGCTGCCCCACTCCCTGGAATCCCTTTGCTGCTCCAACCCCATTCCTCTTTTAGGCCCCAAAGGCCCCAGCCCTCTGGATGAAACTGAACCACTACCAGGAAGGGGGACTTGTGCCTCTTCCATCACCCTTTTCATACTTACAGCTGTTAAATCATTCGTGTTTTCACTTAGCAAATATTTATTGTGCCCCCTTATGCCCAGGCCCTGGGAACACCACGGTGAAAAGACTATTACTTTCCCCAGATCTGCTCTGTTCCAGTGGAGGGGTGAGCTGCTCCATTGCAGGCATTCATGGAACTCAGTTGATGGGGGATTTTTGAGGCTCCCCCGCAAGGCAGAGCTCTCACAGGCAGCTGAGGACAGGGGCCAATGTGCACCCCGCTTCTCCAGACCTGGGATGACCTGGGCCATTCTGAAGACCTCATGAACACCACGCTTCAGGATCGATGACCCCAGGAGGAGCCTACGGTGGCTAAGTGTGCCTGCTTCACTGTTCCTGCATCACCAGCCCATTCAGGTCCTTTGACTTTTGCGTAGTAGCATTTTTCTAAGGACAATCTGCAGAGCAGCTGCTTCAGAGCTATTTGTATTGCTGGCCCATCCCAGGAAAACCTCCTAGATGAGGACCCTTGCATTCTGGGCCTGGAAATCTTCATTCTAGAAAGCTCCTTTTACTAGACAGAATAATGGTCCCCAAAGATGTCCACATCCTAATCGCTGGAACCTTGTGGCTATGTTACTGTAGTTGGCAAAAGGGCCTTTCAGATGGAGAGATGATCCTGGATTATCTGGGTGGGCCCAGTCTAATCACACAAGTTCTCAGCAGCAGAGAACCTTTCCTTGGGTCAGAAAGAGATGTGATGATGGAAGAAGGGTCAGATATGATGCTGCTGGCACTGAAGGTGGAGGAAGGGGCCACAAGCCAAGGAACAGGGGCAACCTCTAGAAACCAAAAAGGGCAAGGAAATGGCTTCTCCCTGGAGCCTTTAGAAGAGAACACAGCCCTGTCAACACCTTGATTTTAGCCCAGTGAGACCCATGTTGGACTTCTGACCTACAGAACTGTAAGATAAGAAATTTGTGTTTTAAGCAGCTACTTTTGTGGTGATTTGTTATGGCAGCAATAGAAAACCAATGCACTCTCATGCTTTTACATACCCTATGGTCTGAGAGCCTCTGCCCCATAAATCCACTCAACTACATGGGTTTCACATGCCATGTGGCCTTTAACCAATGACCTCCTCGTTCTGGCTGCTGTTACCACCTGCTTGATTCCCTGGTTCAAATTCTGAAGAGAGAGTGGATGAACAGATGAATACACAGGTCTGACTGGCCCCACTCATTGCTTTTCACTCCAGGACAATCCATAGGATTGGCTGTGCTAGAAGCAGATGCCAGTCTTCCTCTGGCCAGAGGGCCAGACTCCCAAGACAAGGTACATGGCCGTATAGGAGAGAGAGGTCAGAGAAGACCTGGTGGAAAAGGCTGTGGAGTTGAGACCTAAGGATGGGCATGGGTTTGCCAGGACATGGAGGGTGCAGGGAGAATTCCAGACACTTACGCTTAAGAGAATAGGCCCTTCGGGGGCAGGCAGGAAGCAGTATGGTATTGCTGGACTAAAACCTGTGGCAGGGGCAGCGGCTGCCCAGGGGAGGCGGCCAGGTCTCTGAGGGTTTTGTCTGCCAGGCTGAGGGGCTGCCCTTACTGTGTGGGCTGGAAAGCCAGGGAAAGGTGAAGACTGGCAGTGCTTTGGAGGCTGATTGCAGAGATCTGAAGCTGGGCAACAGGAGACACTTGTCCCCACTTCCTTGGCTCTGAATTCCCTGAAGCCAAAGTCTGGATTGACTTCAAGGCCTGGCTGGAAAAGGGAGAAAGGAAGGAGAGAAGGTTCCAGAAGAGGAAGAGAAGTGTTGACACACAGAAGACACAACTGGGCCAGGAACTTTTATTGTGAGTACGTTCTTTTGAAAAGGATCCTGTTTCAAAGGCCTCTTGTGTTTGCAGCCCTTAGAAAGCGAATTCTGAGAATTATTTCAGCCTGATTAAGCTCGCTGGTATCTCAAAACACTGAAATATTATAATTACAAATAATAAAAAAAATATGTAATTACAAACAATACCAAACTGCAAAATAAGCATAAGAAAAGTCCCACGAAGTTCTGATTTTGCTACTTTTTCAATTCCAAATTCTTTCCCTAGGAAGTTTGGTGCTGAGCCTGGCCTGTGGTGGGGAAGGAGGCCTGGGGCACAGCCACTGGACCTGCCTCTGGGATCTGGACCTGATGGCCAGCGAGTAGCCCACAGGTTGCATCGCCCACAGGTTGCGTCCCCCACTGGAACACCCCTGGGAACCTGGGTGGGAGCAGCGGGTACAGAGGCCAGTGCAGAGTCGGGGCTTGGACCATCAGGCCTAGACCAGCACAGTGAGGCACATTCATTCATACACAGGAGTTGGATTTGCATTCTGAAAAGGTAGCACACATGACAGACCCGTGGGCAACCTGGCAGTGGCCATGCCACAGAGGGAGGCCCAGGCTGCAGCTGCTGAAAGGGACTCATGCCCCTCCCAGCTGTGCCAACTGAGGCCCCGCACGCTGCTGTGTGCCAGAGTTAGTTAAGAAGACACTGGAAGGCTGGGTGCGGTGGCTCACCCCTGTAATCCCAGCATTTGGGAGGCCAAGGTGGACGGATCACAAGGTCAAGAGATTAAGACCATCCTGCCAACATAGTGAAACCCTGTCTCTACTAAAAATACAAAAATTAGCTGGGCGTGGTGGCACACACTTGTAGTCCCAGCTACTCAGGAAGCTGAGGCAGGAGAATCACTTGAACCCAGGAGGCAGAGGTTACAGTGAGCCGAGATCATGCCACCGTACTACAGCCTGGTGACAGAGCAAGACTGTCTCAAAAAAATTTAAAAAAAAACAAAAAGACACTGGAAGTAGGAAGATTGAAAGTCCTATATCAGGACTTTCTTTGGAAATGAGGTAGATTCCTTTTGTTCTGTGGAAACCCAGGATTAACATCACCAGACTGAGGGTGACAAGGTTAGTGAGGATGCTTGCACAGTCTGAGAAATGAATGGACTGTTTTGCATCAGTCCCTTCCCCTTTACCAATTTTAAAAATTTAAGGAGGAGAAAATATTTCAGCATGAGACTGAAATATTTTCAGTTCCTGAGGAAAATAACACTATTCCTCCATCCTTAGTATTCACTTAAACAAATGTTTTGCTAAAACCTTATTAAAAACTTTAAGCCCACCCAGGCACGGAAGGCTTTGCTTTTACAGCAGCTAAGGTATGTGTTCATTACCCCATGAGTGATGCTAATGCATTGTAAATAGTTCTTTATTATGAGTTTATGTAGTGCTTGGTGCCTAAAATAAATTTCATTTAAATATTTGAAATAACTGCTGAATATAAGCAATTTATTCTGATTATTGATAAAATAACATTCACATTCAAACCTATAAATCTGAGAAATCACTATTCCATATACACAGGAGGCCACAGTCAGTAGTCTAATAGTGCTGCTTACCAGAGTAGTGTAAACTTCTTTCAGAATCAGGGAACAATTCTAGATCACCCATAGTGAGAAGTAAGTGCTCTTCTCTTAGGCCACCGACACTTCCGATTGGGTCTTGACATCCCACCTATGGGCTGGTGTGTGCAACTCTCATTTCTACTTCCCTCCCCAGTTTTAAGAGTCACTGCGTCACACAAAAGTTGCAGCATTGGCCAGGCACGGTGGCTCATGTCTGTAATCCCAACACTTTGGGAGGCCAAGGCAGGTGGATCACGATGTCAGGAGTTCAAGACCAGCGTGGCCAACGTGGTAAAACCCTGTCTCTACTAAATATACAAAAATTAGCCAGGCATGATGGCACGTGCCTGTAATCCCAGCTACTCAGGAGGCTGAGGCAGAGAATTGCTTGAACCCGGGAGGTGGAGCTTGCAGTGAGCCGAAATCGCACCACTGCACCCCAGCCTGGGAGGCGGAGCTGGCAGTGAGCCGAGATCGTGCCACTGCACCCCAGCCTGGGCGACAGAGCGAGACTGTCTCAAAAAAACAAAAAGAAAAAAAAAAAAAAGCTGCAGCATCCCACACAAGACCCTGCTGATCTTCTGGGCTGTTATGTGGCCTGTCTACCAGCACCCTGTTAGTGTGCTTTTCAATAGGTCTTAGCCTCACCCACTTTATTCAAGCCTACTGTGGCAGGTACCTTTGTCGAACTTGAGCCTAACCATCCCACTGGCCAGGGTCCTGCTCATCGCTGTCCTCCTCAGAGCCAGCAGACACCCTCTTGATTCTCTGGAGTGCGGCCTTGATGCTCCTCTCAAGGTCACTAGTGCGTCTGTTGCTAGTTGGTTTGCTGCTGAGGTTTTGGCCAAGATCAGGGTGAACTTTCTTCAGTTTGACCCCTTGCCTTATGGCAGCCAGAATGTGCTCATTGATTGAGGCGTGGGGAGGGCGCACCGTTGGCACTTCCACCTTCCGGAGAGGAGCTCTGCCATGCCTTAGGGAGGCCAACACTTCATCCATAGATCCTGAAATTGAGTAAGCAGAGCTAGTACCATCAAGAAGACACATTCCCTTCCCAGAACATTATTGCTATGAAATTGTTAAATCTCACATCAGTTAACACCATGACTTAAACAAACAATCACTTCGTCAAGCAAATGCCTTGATTACCTGCTAACAATAAGCCTCCTGGTTGAATCCAGGATAGCTGAATAGCTCATGTTTTAGCTTAACCACTTTCTTTCTGCTAATTTCTTCAAATCCACAGCCACTGACAGGAACAAGCATGCACAACTTTTGTTAAAATTACTGTTTTTCAAGACAAATGTGATCTGTCCCTCCCATCCTGAAAAGAGTTACGGAAGCCTGGGGTGGAACAGTCTCACCCACTGTACATGACCTCTGAAGGATACCTCTGAAGCTGTATCTCCTTCATTACCCTGTCCGGCTAAAAATCTTTTTAAAAAAATTTTATCCTGCTCAATTTAACTTCAGTCTTGGCTATTAGTCAGTGATGACTCATTCTATGACAATGAAGTGAGTAGGTTTCTACACATGAAAAGGCTTAAAATAAAACTTTAACCGGCAACTCAATGAACCGCCACCAGAGGGGTGGCACTGGCACATTTTTCTATATATAATGTGTTTAATTCCACCTACATTACCCTGAGGTGGCTTACATACTTTATTTTTGAGTATGTGAAATGCTGTCAAAACACAAATTAGATCAGAGCTTCAAGGCGTTAGTGAGGAGAAGCTATTTTTCACTCTGGCACCTGGAGACCCCTGAGACGGTAAAATCTTTTATCGCCCACTGGAGACAGGCCTGACTGTGGCCACTAATTTAGAGATCTTCCAGGTAAGGCTTCAAGATTAATAATCAATTCTAGTTCAGGATTGAAAGGCCATGCTGTGGCTAACAAAAGGCCATTCTGCTTTGGATTTAAACCTATACCTCCTTATTACAATTTCCTTCTGGGGGTAATGAGACAGGTTTCACAATCAAGGGCATTCTCTGGTGCAAATTCACACTTTCTTTTTCTTTCCTGTGATTTAGCAGTGTTTGTGAGTTGAACAGAACTTCCCAAAACCATGTGCATTAAATCTGGGATGGGAATGTGGCACCCCACAAAGATCTGCCCACTTCCAAAGTCTGATCTAGACACAGCCATGCAAACTCTTTACTTTTCATTCACAGGACAGTTGTTGCAAACCCTATGGAAACAGGCCATTGGGTCTCCACCTAGTATTTGGACATTTTCATTTGTACCTGGTTCTAGGTACAGTGAGGCTCTGAACTCAGAATAGCCAGATTGCTCAATTAACCAGAATCAGTTTGGAACTGTTATATCATTCATAACACCTAATACAGTAACCTTGCACAGTTTAGGTGGAGGTGCTTAAGCATACTTTTAAAAACAAATTTACATAAATTTTGTTAGGCTATTCTAAAGTGCACACACACACACCCCAAAGCAATAGGCTCCAAGTCTAGGCAGATTCAGGCCATTCTCCTCAAAACTTAATGTCTAAAGCCATAATTCGAATTCTGAGAACTATAGCCCTATTAAAGAAATTGTCAAGAGCATTCAGTGTACTGCACTTGCCAAGACAAGTGGCCCACTTTTTCTTTCTGATCCATTACACTTTAGAAAGACTTCCAACAGTAAGGGTTCCCAGTGTGCTAGTCAGTCTGCAAGAACAGCCTTCTACATTCTGGCTAATATGCTTCTACAGTAATTTCCAACCAGTATTCTGCTTAAAATACAAAAACTGGATTCTGTAAAGGACTCAGAGATGCAACAGTAAGCATAGTTTAAAACCGTATTGAAAAGTATTCCAATGGCCGAAATCAAATACATACTGAAGTCTTAAGAAACTTCAAATAGGTTGATACTTTAACCACCTCAGAAATCCCAAGTCATGTGATCATTAAATGTATAGAGATGGTTTCTTCAAACTGAATTAACATTTATGAAACCAGATTTAGGCTATACTATACTAACTTTGCAATGAAAGAATAATGATACTCAAGGCAGCGAATACTGGAATATTTTAAGGCTACAGAGAATTATAAAAATGATTTCCATTTGAAGATGATTGCTTCTGAAGCTAGAATGCTTCAACAGCTTAACAACTCATGGGGGAGCAGGGACAGAATTCCAGTGGACTACCTGGACATGGAAAACTTTCCAAGGAGTCACGTGGTCTCTCAGCAGGTGATTCACACACTAGAGGAAGTGGCTGGTCATCTTTCACTGGAGCCCGGAAGCCTAAGTTCTGATGAGTTGCAGCTTGAGAGGATGAGGACAGAGCAGGGAGAGGAGGCGGTGGGGGTAGGGGTGGGGGTGGTGGTGGAGGAGGAGGAGGAGGTGGTGGCAGTGACAATTCCTCACTGGATGTGGAATGTGTTTGATCACCAACTGGAACAAAAACCTGGACAGGGATATTTCCATGACAGTCTTGACACTTGGGGCTTTTCACGTTACCAGCTTCCGATAGGGGAACGCCTCTAGTTTTCCTAGAGGACGGGTGAATTACTGACACAGCCTGGGAAGCTGGCAAGCATGTCTGCTGGGAAAGGTCGCCTGGCAGGTTTGGAGCCACAGGTTCTGAGCCAGAGGTGTTTCGGACAGATTGAGCTAGGCGTTTCTGAAAATGAAAAACCATGGTGAGGAATCTGCCACAAGTTCATACCATCAAAATGCTGAAACTTTCTAGAAATCTATAAACACATGCGTTTCTATGCATGGATGGTCTAATTCACAAAGTGGCTCCTTCTTGTTTGTACAGCCATCCTTGTTACCAAAGCCATTTTTCATGGATTAAAAGATAAGCATTTATATCCTTTGATCAAGTATTACCTTCTCTGTAGTAAAATGAAGATACAAAAGCATACATATAGAGGAAAATAGTCATCAATTTTTAGTATGGAAAATTAGAAATGCTAAAATACAAATAATAGGATATTAGTTGAAAAAAGTGTGACAAATCTATTCAAAATATTAAGTAGCCGGCAAAAGAGCAAGACTCTGTCTCAAAAAAAAAAAAGCCATAAAAAGTGAAATAGTACAACGCCTGAAACATCTGAAAAAATCAGATGATACAGTGTTCAGTGAAAACCAGATATAAAATATGTATTATGATTAAAAATGAGAAAAGTTCTATGAAAAATGCCAGCACAGTGGACATCCAAGTGGCAGCTATAACAAAGCCTGTGGATATTTCTTTTCTCTTACTTTTAGGCTTAGAGTTAATTTCATAATTAAGAAAATGTAAATTGAAAAAGTTCTGGTCTTTCAGGTATTCATTTGATAAAGAAAAACCTAGCCCTACAAAGAGCTAATCTTGAGAGGAGGTCCCTAAAGAAGGCACTGATTAGCCAATGAAACATAAAATGTAATACTATGAACTTATTAAAATGAACTAGCTCTATACATATTAACATGAATATATCTCAAAAACCTAAGTTAAAGAAACTGGCAAAGGATGCATTCAATATGACCCTATTAATGCAAACACACACACACCATGCAATCCATGATAAACTCAAGGAGTATTTCCATTTCCCTTACATTCTGCTCCTTTCAGGACAAATAGCAACATGGCAACAAGCCCCCAAACCTCCCTGATGCAGACACAGCCATGCAGCTGCCGTCCTGCAGCCTTCTGTCAGAGAGCATGCCAGCAGAATTCGAATCCCAGAAACTGGGCCAGAGGGCTAAACGCCAGTGCTCACCCAACTGATCTCCATCCAACTGATCAGGTCATACCTGATGGGGTTCCCTGAACCACCCAAAGATGCTTTCTGTGGCATCCCGGCTGCAGCATGTCACTGTGACTCTGGACTGTTAAGTTCTACCTTTATTTTTTTGTAGAGACAGGGTCTCACTGTGTTGCCCAGGCTGGTCTCAAACTCCTGGGTTCAAGCAATCTGTCTGCCTCAGCTTCCAAAAGTGCTAGGATTACAGACTTGAGCCATGGCGCCTGGCCGAGTTCTGCCTTATACTGCACAGGCATTCTGTCCACCCACGATAAATTAAATCCTTTACCTCACACAGCCCTTCAGATATTCAAAAAACTTCCTTGATCTCAACAGATACCATGTATCACATGATTTTATTTCTAGTTTTCTCCCTCCCCTACTTCCTCCCTTCCAAATGTGCTCAAATTGGCTATGTCCCCTTTAAGGGTGGCACTTCTTGGTAAACACAGAACTCCCTTATTCTACACAGGACGCCACTGTCCATACATGCCAAAAGCCCACAAGCTTTTGTCACACAGGTGGCTCATTAAGCTGAAGGAAACTGAATTCTCAAATTCTTTTACCCAAAATTTAAGCCACACAGACTTTCCTGTCACCCCATGCAAGCGCATACCTCCATACGAGCTTTTTTGGACTAGAAAACCAGTCATGTATCGCAATTTTGGGTGAACTTGTTAGCATTTAACTAATTGTTCCTGTTGGTCGTTGGGAGCTTAGGAGGCCTGATTCTGTCATTTTAAATCTGCCTACCCCTCCCATTTTCATATCACCCACACATGAAAAAGTAATATTCTGTATTGCCAAACAATTCCTTGATCTGAGTGAGGGCTGAGGAGACGGGCTGGCTGCCCTTGGATCCCTTCCTCTACACTGACTCCATTCTGTTCATCGAAACTCTCTTGGTGGTGGCGACCAGCCAGTTCCTCTCCAGCTCACTGGCTCTGCATTTACCCAGTATTTATGCAGCTCCTTCAATTCATGCTTTCCACTGCAGTTCACACCCAGGCCCCGATCCAGGGCAGTCACATCAGAATTTCTGTGGGTGGGGCTGGGCCTTAGTACTTAGAAGAAGCTCTCCAGAGGATCTGGATATGTTGCCCAAGCTGAGAAGCCCTGTGTGGCCCTGGAGTAAGACCTGGCTTCAATTCCTGCTGTTTAACCTTGAACTAAGTTGTGTAACCAACTATTCTGAACCTTGGTAACTCATTTGTAAAGTGGTGATGAAACTATCTCACAAGGCTGTTTCAAGAACTAAGTGAGAGTGAATGTGAAGTGCCTAGCATGGTGCCGGGTATATGAAAGGCATCAGATACCTATTCCAGAATCTTTTCTGGGACAAAGTGGGTTGTTTCCTTTTCTGGGGCTACAACAAACTTGGGTCTTTGTGATGGGGCTGGGGAATGAAGGCAGGTCTATGTTTTATAGTCAGTAAATTCAATGATATTCTTAAGCCCCTATTTACTTTTTTTTTTTTTTTTTGGAGACAGAAGAATCTCACTCTGTTGCTCATGCTGGAGCGCAGTGGTGCAAGTTCGGCTCACTGTAACCTCTGCCTCCCAGGCTCAAGTGATTCTTGTGCGTCAGCCTCCCAAGCAGCTGGGACTACAGGCATGCACCACCATGCCCGGCTAATTTTTGTATTTTCAGTAGAGATGGGGTTTCACCACGTTGCCCAGCCTGGTCTCAAACTCATAGCCTCAAGCAATCTGCCCGCCTCAGCCTCCCAAAGTGCTAGGATTACAGGCGTGAGCCACCGTGCCTGACTCCCTACTTATATTGTTTTAAAAAACCTATTTACCTTTAGATAAATGTTTGAGGTGATAGATATGCTAATTACCCTGATTTGATCATTACACATTATATACCTGTATCAAAATATCACACTATACCTCATAAATATGTACAGTTATTATGTGTCAATTAAAAATAATAAAAGCAAAAAATTATTTTTTGAATCTTCATAGCAGCTTTTTTTAATTAAAGGAATTTATCTCTAATAATAAAGTCAACAAATAGGAAAAAAATTACAGACTCAGGATCATTTTGTGGAGGAAATACAAATGTAGGCCTGTAACAGAGGGCATAAAAAATAACATTATCCTCATAAGTATATACTTTAAAAAAAAAAAAAAAAGAAAAAGGAAAGTTGTAGATATCAAAAAAAAAAAACCCATTTTACTTTTAATAGGGCACTTTCACTACACTTACATCACAATGCTGCCTGGATAACATTTTAAAGAACTGTTTATTACAAATGAGGGGAAATGCCAGCTAAATCAAGGGAGTTGAACAGTTTTCAGTTTTCCCTGCCAATCTAAACCACCAGTGCCAGTTAGGACTACTCAGTCAGGAGTGCAGAGCAGGAACCCAAGCGTGTTGTGATGTCAAAAACAGTAATTATTTTTTTATCATGGGTTTTGAATCACTGATATTCTATTTTTGTTTTTTATTGATATACCAGAAATAATGGTATTTTTTAAATGTTCACGTTCTGCATGACCTGTTCTTAATACTTTATACTTTCCTCTTTTTTAGGGTGGTCTTCATTTATTTCCCCAGAAGTGTAGATGAGGTGACTTTTTATAGAACTTACATCTTTAAATGCTCTCAATCGTTGGAGTGTTTTTTGACGTTCTTGGTTGATCCATTCTTTTTTCTTTTGCTCCTCTTCTTTTATCTTGTCTCTTTTCTATATTTAAACAAATGTATATTTCTAAATTGCTCAACATTACAAAAAATGTCTCGTACCCCAACATTACCACCCCAAAGCTGCGCCCAGGCTGCAGGCCTGGAGGCAAATGGCTGACAGCTGCAGGTCCAGGGCAGCGCAATTCCAGTTTCCACAAGTCTAGGCCTACATGTCACGCTACACAAACACAGAACATTTTCCTTCAGAGGAGACTCACCATCTGAATACTGTGATGCTGACGAGAGTATCTTATGCTTTCTTCAGCCTGTTGCAATCTGAGCCGATGATTTTCTTTGCACTGATCCTGGTGAAATAATACAAATCACCTACATGGTTTTTAATGTTACCCTGGTATAGCATAAAAGGTTAAAAGAAAAAAGCACTGCCCAGTTCTGGTGTGGCCCAATGGTACTGTCTCCTCCACAGTCTATGATGAGGGTTGCCTGGCTGCTTCTGGAAATAATTTGTTCCCAGCAGAGTGCTTTAAGAGATGAAAAATAATCCACCAGCCCATGAGAGGACATATAGGGAGCCCCCACTCTTAAATGGGATGTGTCCCAACAATGTTTTAATGTGATTGTTTTAAACACATTTCCCCATAACAATATAAATACTAATTACATTTCCAAGCGTACCTACAAAAGCAGAGCAACCTACAAATACCTAAAAAATTATAACTGTGTTTCACTTGTGCTTAACCACTCACTATACCAATATATAATAGGCTATATGTATATAAGATCCTTAATCTATGTAAAAAATAATACAGTAATACTCACAGATAATACTAACACTTACTGAGTAGGTTTTAGCCTCAATGCCAAGTACTTTTCATGCCTTATACTACTTTATCCTCACATGAAATTTGTATTATTACCACTATTGTCCTTTTTTTTTTTGAGACTGAGTTTCGCTCTTGTTGCCCAGGCTGGAGTGCAATGGTGCGATCTGAGCCCACTGCAACCTCTGCCTCCCAGGTTCAAGCAATTCTCCTGCCTCAGCCTCCCAAGTAGGTGGGATTACGGGTGCTGTGCCGGCCTATCATCCTCTTTTAAAAGATGAGAAAACTGTAAGCTCAAAAGAGATTTAAGTAATTTGCCTAAGGTCACATGGCTACCTAAGTGGCCAAGCTGTGATCTGAACCCAAGTTGAGAGCTCACCTCAACTACCATTCTATTAACCGAGTGCTTTCCAATTCCAACATTTCCAGAATCAGTGGAAAGAGCTCCTCTAAATGGGGTGGGGGAGTGATTATATCTTTAGAGTGAAGGTTACTGCTCCAAGTCTGGATAAGAGAAGGCATAGGAGCATTTTATATACATATACATATAACACTGCCAAGGAGGTAGAGGCATCTCTTCATCCACAGCACCATGGAAGTGCCAAAGGAGACTCCTGGGTTCATGGGTTTTCTGAAATGTGGAGCAAAGGGCAAATGCCTGTATATCTTCAAATCCTCGAATAACAGTTCCTAAATCCAGAAGTACAATTCTTAAACATGAGCATACAAAGAATATACTCTTCTAACAAAGTTTTTTATTTTTATTTTTTATTAGAGACAGGGTCTTGTTCTGTCACCCCGGCTAAAGTGCAGTGGTACAATCATAGCTCACTGAAGCCTCGACCTCCTGGCCACAAGTGATCTTCCTGCTTCAGCCTCTTGAGTAGCTGGGACTATAGGTGCGCACCACAGAGATGAGGTCTCACTGTATTGTCCCTGGTCTCAGACTTCTGGTCTTAAGTGATTCTCCCACCTCAGCCTCCCAAAGTGCTGGGATTACAGGCATGAACCACGGCACCTAGCCAAGTTTTTTTTTAACTATTTGTATTTAGATGGAAGAGTAATTAACATTTTTGTAAGCTACAAAAGTCACAATTTTCATGTTTTCTTAATTCTAATTAGAATAGTAGGCCGGGCACAGTGGCTCACGCCTGTAATCCCAGAACTTTGGGAGGCTGAGGCAGGTGGATTGCTTGAGGTCAGGAATTCAAGACCAGTCCCGACCAACATGGTGAAACCCCATCTCTACTAAAAATAAAAAATTAGCCGAATGTGGCCGGGCACTGTGGCTCACGCCTGTAATCCCAGCACTTTGGGAGGCCGAGGCGGGTGGATCACCTGAAGTCAGGAGTTCAAGACCAGCCTGGCCAACATGGCGAAACCCCATCTCTATTAAAAATAGAAAAATTAGCCAGGTGTGGTGACGTGCACCTGTAATCCTAGCTACTCTAGGGCTGAGGCAGGAGAATCGCTTGAACTCTGGAGACGGAGGTTGCAGTGAGCCGAGATCACGCCACTGCACTCCAGCCTGGCGACAGAGCGAGAATCCATCTCAAAAAAAAAAAAAAAAAAAAAAAGGAGAAAAGTATAGTAAATATGAGTAAATACATATAAAAGTCTGTATAAAAATGATATATAGAAGCTTCCTTTTCTGCCAGAAAAAATTAAATTTCTTAGTGTTATCTTTTTATGTATTCGTGGATTTTTAAAAATTAAGAAAAAAATCACCAAATATAAGGTCTGAGGTGAGCTGAATATTATCTGTAATTGTTTTGTGTACTCAATAATTTACAGTAAAATATATTTAGAATTGTTATAGTTGGTTATTAGAAATAGAGTTTCTACCTATTGTGGTTTTTAAAGTACCTGTGGTCCAGCGGCGATGGCTCACACCTGTAATCCCAGCACTTTGGGAGGCCAAGGTGGGCAGATCACTTGAGGTCAGGAGTTCAAGACCAGCCTAGCCAACATGGCAAAACCCTGTCTCTACAAAATATACAAAAATTAGCTGGTCGTGGTGGCACATGCCTGTAAACCCAGCTACTTGGCAGGCTAAGGCACAAGAATCGCTTGAACCTAGGAGGCAGAAGTTGCAATGAGCCAACATCATGCCTCTGCACTCCAGCCTGGGTGACAGAGCAAGACTCTGTCTCAAAAAAATAAAAATAAAGTGTCTGTGTATGCAATGGACATTCAACAAATAGTTGTTGAATGAATAAATTAAAACCTTGAGATTTGCTAAATGCTTAAATCCTAAAAGAAAAAAAATACTTTTAAGAAAAACATTTAAAAGCATTTTAACTATAGTCATGGATAAGTACATAAGTACATAAGCCATGGATAAGTACAGAAAAGTAATCACTGTGTTGGTAAAAACCTTATTTCAGTACCTCTTTATCCTTCATACAAGAATAAATTTCTGGAAGAGAAAATAAAAGAAAGCCGCTCTGAGCGTATCTACCTTTCTACTCCGGAGAGAGGCTCTTTTGGCACAGATCCTGCCCCGTTTAGACTCCAGCTGCTGGCACTGCCTTCTGAGTTCTTTCACTTCCAAATTCTTATCATCCTGCAGCCCCACCACACAGTCAATGACTTTAAGTTCCTCTGGACTTTCACATGGATCGTAATAGACAACTTCATTCTGTTTCTCTAAAAATATATTAATGATTGTTTAAAACACATTTTATTATTTTTAAAAATGCACTGAATTTTTTTAAATGTCAGGAAAATAAAGATCACTTGTAATCCCACCACTGAGCACTATTAACATATATAAAAAATATACGTGTATATATACATGACTATATACATGTGTGTAAGTAGCATGTGTGTATATACATGTAAGTAGTGTATGCATGTATATATACATGTATATATAGACATACATATATACACATGCACACATACACACACATACTACTTATATAGCTACACATATCAATAGAGTTCTAAAAGAACATTTTCCATGGGATGGAAATAAATTTTTAGGCCAGGTACAGTGGCTCACGCCTGTAATCCTAGCACTTTGGGAGGCCAAGGCAGGCGGAACACCTGAGGTCAGGAGTTCAAGACCAGCCTGGCCCACATGGCAAAACCCCGTCTCTACTAAAAATACAAAAATTAGTTGGGCACAGTGGTGTGTGCCTATAATCCTAGCTACCTGGGAGGCTGAGGCAGGGGAACAGCATGAACCTGGGAGGCAGAGGTTGCAGTGAGCCGAGATCGTGCCACTGCACTCCAGCCTGGGCAACAGAGCAAGACTCCATCTCCAAAAATTAAAAAAAAAATTTTTAAAGATAAATTTTAATGGCAGCATAGTATTCTCTAATTTAAGCAATCCATGTTGTTAGGCTGTTCCAATGTTCCATTATTGTTCATTTCACTGTGATGAACATCTCTGTATAAATCTTTGTGTACACTTTTTATCACTTCCTTAGCAGATAAAAGGATCTTGATACCCATTGCCAAACTGCACTCCAGAAAGGCAACTTATATTCTACCAGCAATATATTATTAAGATGCCTTAGTCATATTTAATCTTGATTACATATTGATTTTTTTAAAGTCACGCTTACTGTAACAAATTCAAACCCTCCAGAAGTACATAAAATAAACAGTGAAATTTTCTTGCTCCTTCCCCAAACCTTCTGAGTCATTCTCAGAGGAAAAACATTATGAACAATTTGGCATGCATCCTTCCAGGTTAACTTCTTTTTTTAATGTAATTTTTTCCCTAAATATGTAAAATGCTTATAACCTGAAACTACTGCAAAAAATTGTGAATACTCAGGATTAAACTAAAAGTTCAGGATCTATGTGAAGAACTTTATTAAACTTGGAGGAAATTTAGGAAAAAAGATTTAAATAAATGGAGAGAGACATACCATGTTCTTGGGTAGGAAGATTCAAAATTGCAAAGACCACTATTCTCCCCAAAGTAATCTCTAATTTTAAGCAAAATCACAATCAAAATTCCAACGAGTTTTTGTTTTGAACTTGATTCTAAATTTCATCTGGAAGAATAAAGGAGTGAAAATAGTCAGAAAACTTGTGGGGAAGTAATGGGGGGTTAACTTGCCTTACCAGACCCTAAAATGTGCTTCCAAGGTACAGTCATGGGAACAGTATGGAGCCAGCAGCAGAGCCACTCACAAACCAATGGAGGAGAACAACTCAGAAACAGACCAAAGTCAATCTAATGTTTAGCTTGAGAAATGTTAAACATTTAGGGAAAATGTTTTCAAAATCAGTGATTGGGACTGCTTAACAATTTGAGGGAAAGGTTCAGTTCCTACCACAATCAAAATAAATTCCACCTGGACTAAAGAATTAAATGTTTTAAAAAGCAACATCATAAACATACAAAAAGAAGACATAAGTATATACTGACATAATTTTGGGATAGGAGAATACTGCCAGACAAAATACTAAAAGCAGAAGCCACAGGGGAAAAAAATTGATAAATGTGACTTCATAAAAATTAAATATTTCTGAAAGGCAAGAAAACGCAAATGAGAAGGAGAGATTATTTGCAACATATGACAGAAAATAAAGGATATTATTCCTAATGTGGAAAGGAAATATTCCAAAGAAAAATAGACAAAGACTATGAATAGGCATTTCATAAAATAAGTACAAATAGCTCGTAAACATACAAAATTTTGTTCAATATTCACTCATAATAAACGAAAATTGGAAGACTGTCATTTCCTTTGTCAAGTAAACAAAAATGCAAAAGAATGGCATGAGTCTGGGAAACATACACACTCATATTCTGCTGATGGGAGCATCTTTCTTCTTTTCTCTTTTTTTTTTTTTTGGGACAGAGTCTTACTTTGTCACCCAGACTGGAGTGCAGTGGTGCCATCTCGGCTCACTGCAATCTCCATCTCCCAGGTTCAAGCAATTCTCCTGTCTCAGCCTCCCAGGTAGCTGGGATTAAAGGCGCCCACCATCACGCCCAGCTAATTTTTGTATTTTTAGTAGAGACAGGGTTTCACCACGTTGGCCAAGCTGGTCTTGAACTCCTGACCTCAAATGATCTGCCCCCTCAGCCTCCCAAAGTGCTGAGATTACAGGCGTGAGCACACCCAGCCTGGGAGCATCATTTTAAATGTACAACCTATCTAGAGGGCCATTATGTAGTATGAAATTTGGAAATCAGAAAATAATACAGAGGTGAGGAAAAATGTATCTCAGGTGATTATCGTATTGTTATGTATCAAAATGAAAAATATACATTGCCCTTGACTCAATAATTCCATCCTTAGAAATTTATTCCAAGGACATAATCTGTCCTATGCACAAAGACATGTGTAAAGGAAAGTTCACTACACTACTGTTCAAAACAGCTGAAATTTGGAAATCATGGTATATCCATAAAATAGAATACTATGCAGCCATTAAAATATTGATACTTTTATTATTCACTGAAATAGAAAGACAGTTATTATGTATTAAATGAAAAAGACTATTATGCATTGTATGCCTGTGTCAAAATATCTCATGCAACCCATAAATATATATATCCACTATGCACCCATAAAAATTAAAAAATTTTTAAAAAGATGTTATGCACTTGGTTAGTTTTGGTTAAAAATTTACATTTTTCTATATCAGCATATTTTAAAATCTACAAAGTTATAGAGCAAATTGTTACCGCTAAGTGTCTCTCTTTTTTTTTTTTTCCTTTTTGAGACGGAGTCTTGCTCTGTCGTCCAGGCTGGAGTAGAGTGGCACAATCTTGGCTCACTGAAACTTCCGCCTCCCAGGTTCAAGCCATTCTCCTGCCTCAGCCTCCCAAGTAGCTGGGATTACAGGCACGTGCCACCACACCAGACTTTGTATTTTTAGTGGAGACAGGGTTTAGTATTTTTGTATTTTTAGTAGAGACGGGGTTTCACCATGTTGGCCAGACTGGTCTGAACTCCTAACCTCAAGTGATCCACCCACCTCAGCCTCCCAAAGTGCTGGGATTATAGGCATGAGCCACTGTGCCCAGCCAACCACTAAGCATGTCTAGATGATGGGATTCTGGTAATAATCATTTTTCTTTCTTTGTTTTGCTATGTGTTAACAATGAATATATTATTTGAATAATAAACCACTGAAGGAAAACTTTAGGAAATTTGCAGATGTTATAATTTACAAAAAGTAATTGATAATATGGTATTTCCTTAAATTTATAATTTAAACATTGTAATCTATATACTTAAATATAAATTTTACCTTTTATAAGTCTTTTAAGGGAGTCCAACTGTGTAGTAAGCAGTATTTCTTCATTTTTTAATATCTCAAATTTAACTTCATATAGTTCTAACTGAATTTCATAAAATTGTATTTCTAATTCATCTACAACATTTATATTTTTTTCTTGTTCTGGAAGATCTTCCATCTTATTTTCATAGAAAAAAGAAAAATAAGTTAAAATAAATTAGTATATTAAAAACAAACTTTAGAAGCATTATAGCTATTTTCTATTCCTTGTTCAGCACTAAATATAAAAAAGCAAATAGGAAAGAAACTCATTTCATCTAGTGATGCAAATACTTTATATCATCCTTGAAACAGAGGCAAACATTTAGGTTTTGAGAAACATAAATGGCAATGAGGTATTATTATGTATTGCATATTGGTGTCCCCCCAAATTTCGTATGTTGACACTCTAACTCCTAGTGTGATGTTATTTGGAGGTGGGTCCTTTGGAAGTAATTAAGTTCAGATTATGTCAAAAGGATAGCATCCCCGTCATGGGATTAGTGCCCTTATTAGAAGAGAAAGACAGGGATCACTTTCTTTCTCTCTAAACATACACACAGAAGAAAGGCTATATGAGCACTCAGTTAAGAAGGCAGCTGTCTACCAGACAGGAAGATGATCTTCACTGGACAGTGAATCTGCAGGCACCTTGATCTTGGACTTCCCCGCCTCCAGAACTGTGAGAAATACATGTCCGTTGTTTAAGCCACCAAATCTGTGATAGTTAATCTTGTTATAGCATTCTGAGCCAACTAAGACAGGTGTTTACAGTGTTTTCTGCTTTAAAGTCATAAGATCATAGGAAAAAATTTAAGTGACTATGATCCTTCAGTGAAGTATCTCTTTGATTATTTTAAAGTTGTACTGAAAACATTGCTGGATTGATTTTCAAGTACAGTACCCACTTCAATACTGAGCTCGGTGTTACTATAAAGTGAATCCTACAATATGGTATTTTGAAACATTTTAACCAAAGGAAAACTATGTCTAACCTTCCGTAGAAGATGGTGTTGGAATAAGTGAAGAAAAGAAGCTCTTTAACGATGCCTGGAAAGAAAAGTGCTATCTAAAAATAAAAGTGTCCTTTACTACATGGTCTCACTTATAAGTGGGAGCTAAGTAATGTGTATACACAGACAGTGTGGAATAATAGACACTGGAGACTCAGAACAGTAAGAGGGTGGGAGGGGGGACGAGAAATATTTAATGGGTACAATTACATTATACAGGTGATGATTATACTAAAAGCCCAAACTTCACCACACACAATATATACATGGAACAAAACTGCACTTGTATCCTTTATTTATACAAAATTTTTAAAAAATAAAAGTGTATTTTTAAAACAAAGTTACATTTATCTTTGTCTTACCTTTCCCTGAATTTCAGCTCTTTTGTGATTTAAACACAACTCTTTCGCTCTCATGAGTTGCAGAGTCTCTCGAGCTAGCATTAGCCTAAGTTTTTCCAACCTGGGAACTGCTGTGGCCCAGGCAGCCTGGCCAAATCTCTTCGCATCCTGTTCCATTTCTTTCCGCATTACTGTTGGATTATAAAAATAAAATATAATTACACTTCATTAAAAAGGGAAACATTTATCACGAACTAATCCTTTCTTTATTGCCTCCATTCTATCAGCAGAACATCCTTTTTAAAAGAAATTCTGTTTTATTAACTTTTTTATTATTATAAAAATAATACATGGCCATTGATATAAAATTTTAGGCATTCCATTTTTAAAAAGACAGTAAGTCATGATCTCACCTAGTTGAGGCAACTGCTTCTTATATTTTGGCACACTTGCTTCCATATTGTTTCTATGTCTAGCTAGACAGACAGGCTCATATGGATAGTTTGACCAAAAAACTAGGATCATCATTCTGCTTTATATCTTGTTGATTCTGCACAATATATCAGAAACTCTTGCCACTCATAAAAAAAATCAAGAATCATGCTTAACAGCTACATAGTTTTCTGTTTTATGAATGTACCAAAACTTAACAAACTGATAGACATTAAGTTGTTTCCTATTTGGTGTTTTTATCAACAATTATTTAAGACTAAAAAAAAGTCCTTCACTCAGCCCACAAGCCCCTGCATGGTCTGACCCTGCCTGTCTTGCCAGCATTTTCCCTCATACCACATTGTCCTACACTCTTTGTGATCTAGCCCCGCAGGTTTTCTTTAAGCTCCTACTTGCCAACTTCCCTCACGCCAGGGGACATTTGCCAGTGCTATTCCTTTTGCCTGGAATACTCCTCACTTTTTTTTTTCTCTCAACTTCCATTTACCCTTCAGATACTGGGACAAGCGCCACTACTCAGAGGCCTTCAGTGACCACCACCCTGATCAAGCCCAATTTCTCTCTCACAGACCCTCAGAGCCGCATGTCTCTCTTCTTTGTGCCATTTATTGTCACTGCCATTTTCCATGTGCTTCAATGAATAATTAAGATTTCTCTCCCTTCACCAGACTGTACAATGTCTCTTAATGCTTGACACTGAATTCTCGGCACCAAGAAAACATAGTGCCTAGTGAGTAAGAGGGACTCAAATGGTATGTGAATAAAATGACAATCAATTACATGTATCTTTGTATAGCATTTTTTAAATTATCACCTGCTAATGCTTTTACTGTCTCCTTAAAATAATTCACTGTGATATCTTGAATAGAGACAACAGCTTCTTCAGCCCGTCTGGTCCATTCTTCAGCTTCTTTCTCCAGGGCAACCACCCTTCTAGGACCTAGGTCATCCTCATCCAAGGACTTCTACAGACGAAGGGAAAACTGTCTTAGTAACAGCTAATAGTTATGTAGAACCATTAGGAAATTGAAAGGAAATTGGTCACATGGATTAACTATACTACTACTCAGTATACTACTACTCAGTCAATTAAATGTTCATTCATTCAGCAGTCCCTTACTGCATATGAATAAGGTTCTAAGTTGAGCACCACCTGAAGACAAAAGGACACTCTGGGGCATAAAGGGAAAAAAAAACCTACTTTCACTTCACATGCCTAGAATAACTTTTTCTAGAGAGGAATGTTGTCAAATTATGCTTCTCTCTAGTAATAATAATACACAATTGTTCAAATAAGTGATCTGTGTTATCAAGCACACAATGTAGGGCCTGGAACAGAGCACTTAAGTGTTAGCTGTTGTTATCATTTCTTTTAGGGATATGTAATATAATCACCTAAAAGAAAATATCTGTATATTCATGCTTATAACATACTAGTATTGGACTGAATGTCTGGGTCCCCCCAAAATGCATATGTTGAAGTCTAAATCTCCAGTGTGATGGTATTTGAAGATGGGGCCTTTGGGAGGTAATTAGGTCATGAGGTGGAGCCCTCAAGAATGGGATTAATGCCCTTATAAAAAGAAGAGGAGACATAGGATCTCTCTCTCTCTGCTCTTCACCATATGAAGACACAGCAAGACAGTCCTCTACAAATTAAAAAACTGGCCTTCACAATACATTGGATCTGCCAGCACCTTGATCTTAGACTATCCAGCCTCCAGAACTGTGAGAAAAAAAGTTTTGTTGTTTATAAGCCACTAATCTGTGGTACTTTGTTATAACAGCCTGAAGTAAGACATGTGCTGCTATGTCATCCAACTTGCAATTTCTCTTCTACAAAGCATAAGAAATATGTACAAGTTAGCTGACAAGGAATTACAAATCAAAGCCATAACAAGATACCACTTCACACCCACTAGGATGGCTGTAACCAAAGAGACACACAATAACAAGTGTTGGTGATGATGTGGACAAATTGGAACCCTCATTTACTGCTTTTGGGAATATAAAACGATGCAACCACTTTGGAAAACCATCTGGCAGTCTTTCAAAAGGTTAAACATTGAGTAATCATAGGACCCAGCAATCTTACTCCTCAGTATGTACACAAGAGCTATGAAAACATATGTCTACACAGAAACTTACACACAAACATTCACAGGAGAATTATTCATAGTAGCCAAAAAGTGGAAACAACCCAAATGTCCATCAACTGATGAATAAAATGCGATATAGTCACACAATGAATATTACTCAGCAATAAAAAGAAATGAAATCCTGATATTTGCTACAACATGGATTAGCCTTGAAAACATTGAGATGAGTGAAAGGACCACATATTGAATAATGCTGTTGCTATGTCCAGAGTAGGGAAATCCACAGAGACAGAAAGTAGATTGGTGGTTGCCCAGGGTTCGGAGTGACTAATGGGTACAGGGTTTCTTTTGGAGGTGAAAATGTCCTGAAATTACATAGTAATGATCATTGCACAACTTTGAATATACTAAAAATCACTGAATTATACATCTTTAATCTGTGAATGATATCTTAAAACAGCTGTTACTTAAAGAAAGGAAAAATATAGACAGGGTACGGTGGCTCACGCCTGTAATCCCGGCACTTTGGGAGCCCGAGGTAGGCAGATCACTTGAGGTCGGGAGTTCGAGACCAGCCTGACCAACATGAAGAAACCCCGTCTCTACTAAAAAAATATAAAATTAGCCAGGCATGGTGGCACACGCCTGTAATCCCAGCTACTTGGGAGGCTGAGGCAAGAGAATCACTTGAATCCAGGAGGCAGAGGTTGAGGTAAGCCAATATTGCACCACTGCACTCCAGCCTGGGCAATAAGAGCAAAACTCCATCTCAAAAAAGAAAAAAGGAAAAATATATGCAAGAAGTAGACTCTCCAAATAATAGACTTTCAAAATAATGAACAGAACAACTTTATCCACAGGTTAGAGTGGCATGAGTTTCATCTAAATGTGATACTATTTTTATAGTACAATCATCTGGCAGGGGTCATGAGATTATATGTGGAAACATGGCCCAGTGGAGGGGGCAGAAATCAAGAGACTTCGTAGGTGTCTTCTGATTCTCATTGTTGAGACCCAAGGCAAGCTATTTAACTCCTCTGGACTCTAGATTCATTTGTAACACTGGAATAAGAATGCCTTTTCTGAATGGCGTCACAAGGTTGTCTGATGGCTCAATGAAGCAAGAGCGATAACAGCATTTACTAAAATTTAAGTTACTGAATTACAATCTAGGGTCCTGCTATTTAAATTTTCATCCTATTTTAAGAAATCTGCATGAGTCCTTAGAGGAAAACAAGCTGAAGCAAATAAACATCACATCAAAAACAATTCATCAGGCCGGCCTCAGTGGCTCATGCTTGTAATCCCAGCACTTTGGGAGGCTGAGACGGGTGGCTCGCTTGAGATCAGGAGTTCAAGACCAGCCTGGCCAACATGGTGAAACCCCATCTCTACTAAAAATACAAAAGAAGTTAGCTGGGCATGGTGGTGCACATCTGTAATCCCAACTACTCAGGATGCTGAGGCAGAAGAGCTGCTTGAACCTAGAGGAGGCTGCAGTGAGCCAATATCATGCCACTGCACTCCAGCCTGGCTGACAAAGGGAGACCCTGTCTCAAAAAAAAAAAATAATAATTGCCAGAAAAAACATTTAACTCTTTCAAATCTGTAGGAATCTTAAGCTATTAAGATGACCAATGTAAATGTCTTCATTTTCTATCAATGTTAAATATAAATTCAACATTTAAACATAAGGGTGAACTAGGCATAGTGGCTTACGCCTGTAATGCTATGCTTTGGGAGGCCGAGGTGGGCAGACTGCTTGAGCTCAGGAGTTCGAAACCAACCTGAGAAACATGGCAAAACCTCATCTCTATCAATAAATAAGTAAATAAATAAACATAAGGGCAAATCCAAACAAAAAGAGACTGAACATTAAGTATAAATAAAGAAATAATATATGACAAATGTGAATCTGATAAAATAAAAATTTTTTTAAAAACATACCAAAATATCAAGCTTACATAAAGTTGCAACTTCTCGCATAGCCCTAAATGGCTGCAATAAGTACTGGAAGAAGATGGTTGCCACAGTAACTAATTCCTGGTACGCTTCATCTTCCTCTTGGTACAATTTCATTAATGCTACCATGGTGTTGGCTTTTCCGTGTCCTTGAATAACCTAGAAAGCAAATGTGAATAAAGCTCGAATCAGGACAGTATATTTAATACATACCCAACAAACTAAACAAAAGAAACCTTCATGTTCTCAACTTTTAATACATCAATTTTAAATATTGATTAAACAGGAAAATGTTATCATCCTCCATCAAAAATGCCCAATAAAACAAGAATGGTTAAGTAAAGTATGATATATCCATGGCAGAATATTATTACTGTAGTCATTCAGCACTGTGCTTCTGAAGACTGTTCAATAATATGGAGACTTTTGGCCAGGCACAGTGACTCATGCCTGTAATCCCAGCACTTTGGAAGGCTGAGGCGGGTGGATCACTTGAGGTCAGGACTTCAAGACCAGACTGACTAACATGGAGAAACCCCGTCTGTACTAAAAATACAGAATTAGCTGGGCGTGGTGGCACACGCCTGTAATCCGAGCTACTGAGGAGGCTGAGGCAGGAGAATCACTTGAACCTGGGAGGCAGAGGTTGAGGTAAGCGGAGATAGCACCATTACACTCCAGCTTGGGCAACAAGAACGAAACTCCATTTCAAAAAAAAAAAAAAAGGAGACTTTTATAATATTAAATGGAGAGGCAGAGTGCAAAACTTAATCTCAACTATGCGCTAAGTATGCAGCGGAAAGGACCCAAAAGAAGGTTTGAGGTTGTGGATACTTTTTCATTTGACTTTTCTGACTGTAAAGGTTTTGTGAGGCTGTATTCCTTTTTAAAAGCTCATTAAGGGCCACGCCTGGTGGCTCACACCTGTAATACCAGCACTTTGGGAGGCCAAGGCAGGCAGATCATGAGGTCAGGAGATCGAGAACATCCTGGCTAACACGGTGAAACCCTGTCTATACTAAAAATACAAAAAATTAGCCGGGCGTGGTGGCGGGCACCTGTAGTCCCAGCTACTTGGGAGGCTGAGGCAGGAGAACAGCATGAACCCGGGAAGTGGAGCTTGCAGTGAGCCGAGATGGCGCCACTGCACTCCAACCTGGGTGACAGTGCAAGACTCCGTCTTAAATAAAAAAAGAACTCAAAAAATATTACAGAGCTGTCTCCAAGTACTTCAGCATGTTGATTCTCTTCATGTCCCAGGTGAATAGTCCCAGTAAGCCCTTAGCAGTGAACTCATTTACAGAGCCTCAACTGTGGTTCCAGTCTCTGCTGGTTACAGCTTCTGGGGCAAGGCAGAAAATAAACTGAACAGTGTATAATCTAGGTGGACTCACTTGGTAGGAAATTATTTTACTCCCGCAAGAAGAGAAATAAAATCAAATAATATAGATTTTTTTCAACTAATACATTCTTAAATTCTTCTATTTCCATCCTTCTGCTTAAGGAGAAAGTGATCTACTTTCAGCTGTAGTTTTTTATCCAGGTAATAATAATATTATTATTTTTTTTTAAGTGAAAGCCTCGCTGCACAAAATTAAGACACACACGCAAAAGTAAACTTAAGGCAAGTGATGCATTTCAGCCTTATTTCTTAGACTACTCAGAAAACTTTCAGAGTTAAAACATTCAGCTTCACTTTATATATCCTAGCAATACTAGCAATTGATCTAATTCTAGAATCAATTGCTTTTCTATTCTAAATATAAATATTAAAATTATATATTTGGACATGTTTTGAATTGAAGCTTCTTCCCCTCCCAACCCCTCATTTTTAAGTTCCAAATAAATACGTGAACTACACTAATGTGAACAGCTAGCTCAACAGTATGAACTACATTCATGCTATAGTACCCCAGAGTGAACTTAAATTTGGGAAAACTATAACTTTTCTGATAGTAACTACAGTAAAATACATCATATAAATGTTCGATTTTAAGGAGAAACCACCTATCTCTGTGAGAAACCGAGTGTGTAAAAAACAAGTCTGATTCAAAATGATATCATTTTTCACCTCATATCCTAAGGTGAAAAAGATAAAGTTGAAGATCAAACGCTGACTGGCCTGAAACTCCCCTGTGGCTTCCTCATAAAGTGAAATCAACACATGAGAAGTGGGTGTGTAGATATTTACATATAAAACCCACAGTACAAAAATGACCCCACTAACGAGCTTTTATAAAATTATTTTAATTTAGAAAGCTTATTGTATATTTAGCTTAGGCTGAATTCTTCTCTTCACCTCCCCTTCCTCAAAAGAATGCACAGAAAAAAAACCATTCAGGTTAATAACAGCAGTGAGCCGAGACTCCAGCCTGACTCTCCTTAGTAAACTGTGAGTGTGGATTTAGAAGGCATATTTTCTCCTAAACCCTTCTATGAACTTGTACTTCCCCATCCCCTTAGGTTCAGTAGGTTTACCACTCAAATAATTACTCTCTCTCAAACTACCTCTTTCAAGCTTAAAAGGGCACTAATGCGGTTATTCCAAACTGATGAATAAAGTTCACTTTCTGCTGGCTTTCCATTTGACTAAGTATATATTACTTAAAACACTCTATCTCCTAAAAGCCATTTCTTCTATCCCATTCGCGACGTTCCCTCATACACAGACTTAGAATTGCTTACATTTAGTCCGTGTTATTCTTTCCTACATGGATGGGTTGTTTTCAGTTTTGCTTGCAATATTTCTGGCATTTCCCGTTGCAACATCCTGCTCTGCCAGCATCTTCAGGGCAAAGGTTGGGGGCCTAGCCCAGCTCCCAGCTGCAAGTACACTAGGCTCTAACTTCGCTTGTCCTCTCTGCAGGCCCTCCTGGAGCTACCGCCGGTTTCCCGCAGCGGTCCCGCGCAGGTGAGGGCACCGGGGAGCCCGCGGCCT